TCACAGAATGAGAAATTGATTCGATCTGTCAAGTGAAGGGAGACGAAATGAATGAGAAGAACTCATGAAGAGAACGGTATTCACATGCAATAGCTGTGAGAGTGATTAGAACACGTCTGAAAAGAATGAGAATCCATCTAAATCATACGTAGAAATAGTAATTCTTGTATCATGGGGTTGAGAGGTCACGGCGGCCTGCCAGGTTATCAAAAGGGATAATGGAGTACCCGAATGTGAGAACCACTGGTCTAGAAAGAACAGAATTCGGTTGCATAGCATACCATTATCACCAATTTTTTGTTCGATAAGCAGTAGAAGTGCAGATCCTTTTTCATAAGGTATAGCTGAGAAACTCTCATCAGGATCGGTATTCTTATGCTTCTGGATCATTCGTGTGAATCTGTGAGTTGATGAAAACTCATTGTATACCTGAAATATTTCAACCATCTAAACTCATGAGATTGGTGCAATTAAATTCTACTGTATGAGTGCATTGAGAGGTAAATGAATGTGAATTTGATCGAATAACGTTTGCTAAAACGGATAAAAATGCTTTAGATAATTGAACTGAATGTGATAAAATGAACTTGAATAAAATTTATATATCAACTTTGCAAATTCTCGGTAAATTAATTGGGAGGAGGACTGAGAAAGAGAACTTAAAGTTGATTTCAGAGTCGAATGCCATCCATTGTAAGACATAAACTGCCGATATTCCTCACTCACAAGTCGGCCAAGTATTTTGCGCTCAATGAACGTTGCGAAACCTTCGTTTAGCCTTAAAGCGACACAGAGCACATAGTCAATTGGTGTGAATCTCTCGAGAGAATCAGTTGATATTTGCACTGCACTGTATTTCGTTGCAATAATATAAGCAAAATCAGTATATATCACGTCAGATTTGAAAAAAGAGGTACCGAAAATAAAGCTAAATTCAAAAATTTGAAAATTTGCTGCTGCTAAGTGACATACGACCAAAATATGGANTAATCAAACTCAACAAACCAAAAATCATCCCAATTCGCATTCGTTACCAAATTACCAGCCCAACTATGCGCCACTTCATGTGCTATCACATTCACCAATGAGCGATCGCCCGCCTGGATTAGATACCATTGAGAAATTTATTAACGAATATAATCGATAAGTTTATTTAGAAAAGCAACGTAGATTAGAGCGCAGCTCTTCGAGAAGGGAATATTTCAGAGCACCAGAGAAGGATCTTGTTAGAAATCTAGAAAGAAGTTGAAGATACCAGGTGGGTCCTTCAGAGTACTAAGAGCGATATGAATTTCTGGTATAACTATATGCGGGAAGGAGATAACAAGAATTTCTAAGAAATCTTCATTCACAAAGAATCGATATGGATGGAACGATATGAAAATGCTAGTCTCCGGGATGATCAAAGAGATGCATGGCTTCAAAATCACCGTATTAAAGTTTATCAATCGAATGGTTCAATGAATCTGAGGATGACGATAAAAAATTGGTGCTGACTGCCAACGGTATTTACTATTGAATAATGCAATCACAAAAAACTCACAATAATGGTTGGTGTGACAAATATGAGACACGGATTTTCCATACCACCGAACGGAAACGATGGGGGCATACAAATTAAGTCCAAACGTCCCCACAGATACTTGCCAACGATATCTTCGGCTGTGCCCAAAATCTCTTCAACCTTGATTTAATAATGATTTAGTGAGGTGAAAACATTGAAGGAGATCTGGTGGCATATCAAATCATACAATAT